GACCGCGAATAAAGATGTTTTCGTACCGAGCTCCGTGTTGCATTTTCTTTTCTGGCCTCGTTACGCGTTCACCCGAGTTTCTGCCTTGTGTCGGGTTCTTTCCTCTGTGATAACCTGCTGGTCGATCCCGTTTTCCCACAGGTTATGGGCCCAGGTGAGGCTGAAGAAAAGTGGTAGTGTGATTTTCCCCCGGAACTGAACATTTTCTGCGAAGTGAAAATTCGGCGTGGGGAAGCGGAGCGTTGAGTCGGTGGCGTTGGTTTCGATAGCGTCAGTGGCGTACGGTTGGTTGCCTGTGTGCGTGTGTTGCTCGGTCGTGAGACGGGTGGACAGCAGCAGCGAGAGTGAATTCGCGTGCGTTGGTTGAGGTTATAAACGAACGTGTTCGATCGTGTCGTGTTTTGTCGTGTTCGAGCAAAATCGAAAATGGCTGAGAAACATGTGTTATTTCCACGCCTCAATAACCAGAATTACTCGACGTGGCAACTGCGGATGGAGATGCTGTTAAAGCGGGATGAATTGTGGTTCGCGGTGCATGACGCGAAGCCGACACCAGTCACTCCCGTTTGGACGACAGCAGACCAAAAGGCGTTGGCTAACATCGTGTTGTTTTGTGAGGATAGCCAGCTAAATTTGATCAAGAACGCCAAATCGGCCAAGGATGCGTGGGCGGTGCTGAAGAAGTTTCACAACAAAGCCACGATGACATCCCGTGTGTCGCTGCTCAGAAGGATCTGTAGCCTGAATATGACGGAAGGAGGAAACGTGGAGAAGCACCTCTTCGAGCTGGAGGAGTTATTTGACCGACTGGAGTGCGCCGGTCAGAAGCTGGAAACATCACTGAAAGTAGCGATGATTTATCGCAGCCTCCCGGAATCATATGGCGGATTGGTGACGGCGATGGAAAGCCGTCCGGACGCAGATCAGACGATCGAATTCGTCAAACAGCGGCTGGTCGACGAGTATTTGCGCAGAGTGGAGCGTTCCGGTGAGTGTAGTGAAACTGCGATGAAGCTGCAAAGCAAAGGGCGGAAGGAGAAGAAGTGCTACAATTGCGGTAAGCCCGGTCACTTTCGTCGTGATTGCCGGTTGTTGCAGCAGGATAAGAAAAAAGAAGAAGATTCCAGAAGTGACAAGAAGAGAAGTGCGCGTAAAGCCAAACAGGCGGTCGAAACGGAAAGCCCGATTTGCTTCACGGTTGGAAGCAATCGGTGCAGCGGTTCGTGGTACGTGGACAGTGGCAGCTCGAGCCACATGACGAACGAGAAAGCCTTTTTTCGGGAACTGAATGAAAATGTGAAGATCGATGTTGTGTTGGCCGATGGATCTGTGACCAGATCGGCCGGAATCGGCGAAGGTGTTGTGAAGTGTGTTGACAATGACGGCCGCGTGAGAGACATTACCTTTCAAGATGTGTTGTACATACCGAACCTGGACAGTAGTTTGTTGTCGGTTCGGAAGTTAACACAAAAGGGACTGAAGGTTGAATTCGGCGCGTTAAGGTGCACAGTGGTGAATATGGAAAGAGAAGTGGTTGCAGTGGCAGTTCTTAGTGGAAACCTGTACGAGCTGAGCGTGGCACAGGATGCACGGCTGAGCAAGGAGGTTCGGCATTCGGAAAGCTGCCAGCACACCTGGCACCGGCGGTTTGGACACCGCGACCCTACGGTGCTGCAGCGCATCCAAGCGGAGGAACTCAGCGATGGCTTCCAGGTGACAGACTGTGGAATTAGGCAAGTCTGTGAACGCTGCCTGCAAGGTAAACTTTCTCGTATTCCCTTTCCCAAAATGAGTAGCAACAGAGCAGGTCGCATTCTGGATCTGGTACACACAGATGTGTGCGGTCCTATGAAGTCGGTCACACCCGGAGGTTGTCGTTATTTGATGACCATAATTGATGACTTCAGTCGCTATACGGTGGTCTGTCTTTTAAGGCAAAAGTCTGAGGCAGCCGGGTGCATCAAGAGATTTGTGGCACATGCGAGGACAAAATTCGGAAGAGCGCCTTGCGTCATTAGATCCGACGGCGGAGGCGAATATGTGAACCAAGAGCTTAACGAGTTCTATGCCTCGGAGGGAATTCAAGCTCAGTACACGGCTGCCTACTCCCCGCAGCAGAACGGAGTTGCGGAGCGGAAGAACCGCAGCCTCCAGGAAATGGCAACCTGCATGTTGCTCGACGCAGGTCTCGGGAAGCAGTACTGGGGGGAGGCAGTGATGACTGCCGGTTACATCCAGAATCGTATGCCGTCACGATCTGTGGACAAAACGCCGTTCGAGAGATGGATCGGACGGAAGCCATCGCTGAAGCATTTTCGAGTGTTCGGGAGTGCTGCATATGTGCACATCCCGGACGTTAAACGTAGTAAATTGGACGCTAAAGCTCAGAAACTGTTATTCGTAGGATACTGCGAAGACCGTAAGGCTTATAGATTCCTCGATCTGGAAACCAACAAGATTACCATAAGCCGAGACGCTCGTTTTGTGGAGCTGCAGAATGGTTCCATGATGATGGATCGTCGGTATGGCAAGCAGGATGAAGATTGTGTGGTGCTCGACTGGGGAATGAACGATGCCAAGGTTAAGGAGGAGCAGGAAGAACAGCAGCAGATTCAGGAGGAGAATTCGGAGTCCGAAGAAGAATTTTACGGTTTCGAAACCGAGGAAGAAGATCCCGTCGGCAGAGCCGTTCAAGGCCAGAACCAGCAAACAGTTCGGAGCACAAGAGGTGTACTTCCGAAGCATCTGCGAGATTATGTGGTGGACGTAGCCATGGCTGTCGAGCAAGAACCTGTGAGCTACGAGGACGCAATCGGGAGCTCTGAGCAAATGTTGTGGAAGGTTGCTATGAAGGAGGAGTTCGACTCGCTCATCCAAAACGGGACCTGGAAACTTGTGGAGCTGCCCGCTGGACGAGAGCCAATAGGCTGCAAATGGGTTTTTAAAAGGAAGGAAGACAGCGTTCGCAATGTAACCCGTTTTAAGGCACGCTTAGTGGCGCAGGGGTTTTCACAACGCCCTGGTATAGACTACGACACAGTTTTCGCGCCAGTGGCTTCGCAGAATACCTTGCGGGTTCTGCTTACCGTAGCGGGACATCATCGGATGAGCGTGCATCATATTGACGTAAAGTCAGCGTATCTTCACGGGCGGTTGCAGGAAGATATATACATGCAGCAACCAAAAGGATTCGTGCAGTCAGGCAAGGAGAATCTGGTCTGCAAGCTAGAGCGCAGTCTTTATGGGTTGAAGCAAGCGGCCAAAGTGTGGAATGAAACTATCAGCGCAATATTGAAGGAGTTGGGGTTTGAACAGTCACAGGCGGACCCATGTTTGTATGTCAAGGCTTTGAGAAGCAGCGTACGAGTCTATTTATTAATATATGTGGATGATATGCTGCTTGCGAGCACCGATGTCAACGAAATGAAGCAAACCGAGAAGGAACTGGCGAATAGGATGAAGCTTTCATCTCTAGGAGAAATCTCGTTCTTCTTGGGGATACGCGTCACCAAGGACTGTGAAGGATATTATAATCTGGATCAAGAGGTGTATGTGAAGAAGGTTGCAGACCGATACGGACTTAGCGAAGCAAAAGGATCAAAACTACCGCTGGATGTTGGCTATTATCAAAGCCGGAAAGACAGCAAGAGTTTGCCGGACAATAAGCGCTACCATAGCCTGGTTGGAGCGCTGCTCTACGTCTCGGTGAACACTCGGCCGGACATCGCAGCGAGCGTAGCGATTTTGGGAAGGTGTGTTAGCAGTCCGGTAGAAGCTGATTGGACTGAACTGAAGCGCGTCGTTCGATACCTTATGAGTACAAATTGCTATAAACTGAAGTTGTCGACGAACAGAGTGGAGCCTATTAAGTTGATCGGATATTGTGACGCGGACTGGGCTAGTGATAGCTCGGACAGGAAATCCAATACGGGATATCTGTATCAAGTTGGAGATGCAACAGTGTGCTGGGCCAGCAGGAAGCAGGGAAATGTTTCTCTGTCGAGCATGGAAGCTGAGTACATCGCTCTGTCCGAAGCTTGCAAGGAGGTTGTATGGCTGCGGCGATTGCTGGCAGAGATGAATGCGGAACAACGTGGGCCGACTGTCATCTACGAGGACAATACTAGCTGTATAAGTTTCGTGGAGGTCGAGCGCCAATCAAGATTATCCAAGCATATTGATACCAGAATGCACTATACGAAGGATTTGGTGCAGAAAGGAATCGTTATCCTGAAGTACTGTGCTTCGGAGACAATGGTAGCCGATGTACTGACCAAGCCTGTCGGATGCGTGAAGCAGAAGCAGTTTGCAACTGCGCTGGGCTTGACCAACGGGGACGATCGAGTCGAACGTGGTGCGTAGCTCCAATATCGAGGAGGAGTGTTGGTGGGGGCGATATTTATATACGCCACCACTCCGACACCGACGATGAGTCGACAAACTAGTCGACGAACGAGAGAGAGGAGAAAGAGTAAGTAAAGAACAGAAACGACTTTCAGTTACTTTTGTACCGACCGCGAATAAAGATGTTTTCGTACCGAGCTCCGTGTTGCATTTTCTTTTCTGGCCTCGTTACGCGTTCACCCGAGTTTCTGCCTTGTGTCGGGTTCTTTCCGCTGTGATAACCTGCTGGTCGATCCCGTTTTCCCACAATTTTAGGACCACCGAAATCATCTTAGCAACAAACAGTTCGATTTATTCACTTTAATAATGAGAAAGCGAAACGACGAACGTACACTTTTCACGGGTTTCTCAGCGCTGTTACTTAAGTCAAACGGCATCTCCATAGAAATTGGGTGACTTAAGTAACATCGAAAACTATTTTGATCGGAAGGTGATTACGTCAAAAAGCAATTTGACTGGTAAATAAATTTAACAATGGGATTTCATCCTATATTCGGACAGTATGATGGATTAGGCATTATGAAAATACCCGGAAATATTTTATCAAGAACTTTTACATCACAAGAGAAAATAAGATTAAAAGAATCGCCATAGGTATCCCGATTTATTTATCCGAAAAATGCAATGTATTTTCCATAATTTCATAATTCGCAACTATTTTTATTCTACTGTGACGTTTCTCGCCTGTATTCTGGTAGCAACCAGGTCTGGTCATTATCCACTCCTTTAGAGCAAACGATGAATAACTCCTTATCATTACTTTGTAGCTGATTGCGTAAGTATTCCATAGTTTGAAATTCCTAGAAAAGTATAACTATGAAATAAGATTATGTTCAACGCTAATAGGTTGCAATTTCTTACATCTCCGATTACTTGAGGTGCATCTAATTTCGAATCCAAGTTCCAATATTCTCCATTGATTTGTTTCACACTGATCCAATGTCTTCGTTGAAGCGGCAATCGAACAAAACCAATTTTGTAGTTTGATGGTACATTTAGAATGAATCCTATTATTGTTGTGGTGTCGATGCACGAAGGATCTCTAAAAAGTGTAGAGTAGTGAATGAATTTATTGAACTTACTTATATTTCTGTAGTTGATTTAAAAATAGTTTCACTTTCGTTTGTCGAACCAAATTGCTTCGCAGTCTTTCATGTGCAGTGCCGTTATAATAACATTTATATCATAATTTCCAAGGCCCAAGATAGATCTTGAAGTTAAAAGAAAATGCATTAATACGAATATTCACTTGATTTCATGCCCTTTTCACAAACCTATGTGGATTGATATAGTCATTCGGAGCCAAATTCCGGCAAATTTCGTCTAGCTGAACTTTATTGTAGCATCCTTTATCTGAAAACAATATTAGCATATATCATTTTTATAAAACTAATACAATACATAAATACTACCATGACATACCTTGGAATAAATTGTTCAATGCATGAAGAGCACACAATTCTTTGATTTGTTTTTCATGATAAACCGATGAAGCTCCCATTTTGTGTTTTTTTTTACTTTTTCATTCATCTAAAATAAACACAGATATTAGAATTATTATCATGCGAGTATTTTCGATTTTAGAAGAACCTAAATGAACTGCGTCATTATTGATTGTTTATCGAAATAGCGGGTACGAATTATCACAATGTCATTACGCAAACAGTATGTTGATCAACTTTGTGGCTATTAACTGTTAATGTAAGGAATTAGTGAATAAATTAAACCGAAATAAAACCAAATACTTATAAATTTCAATAGATATTAATAAGAAACATATTTACTTTGAGCTATGCTTCTTCAAGTGTTTTGTTCAATAAATAGACTTTTGTTTTTCCTTCCTTGTTATGGCACAGACCTGTTGGTCCATATTAGCCAGGCGTATCAAGTGATAGTTGGTTGTCAATTGACGTATACACACTTAAATTTTTTCGCCGAGATTCCAACAGCCGAGCAGTTCTGCAATTTATTTTGCTGAGATTCAGTAACACAATTGCCGAGACTCAGCTAACAAATAACATTTTGCTGAGATATCAGCTAACAAACAGATATTTTGCAGAGATATCAGCAAAAGTAAATGCCGAGGTAATCGGCTGTTGGCTCGGCTGTTGGAGATTTTACCGAGCTAGATTAAGTGTGTACGATATTTATGTTATGTTTTGGTTAACTTCTGCCAGAAATTTTCAAGCAAAAATTAATTAGGTTTTGCACCGTCGGGGTTAACCTCAATCTTATGACAGTTCAGTGGTACTGTTTACGTGGACTTAGTCATTTTTTTCTTGGGTGGATTTTCTCGATAATTTTTCAGACTGCAGTGAGATAAACCACACTTCTGCAGTGTCCACGAGCAACATCCTTTTACCGCGCTGTTCCTCGACAATTTTCAAGTTAAAGTTCGGAAATTTTAATATATATTTTTTCGAAAAAACGACTAAGTGCTTGTAAACAGTACCACTGAACCACTGAACTGTCAAAAAGGTTCAGCCGGCTAACACTGAGTTCATTTGTGACGTCACGCTGCAGTACCTAATAGTATGTATGTATGTAGGTATGTATGAGTGCAAAAAAAAAAGATTTAAATTTAAGAAAATGTAACAAGACTTAGTCTAAAAAATTAAAAATTAGGTACTAGGTACTGCAGCGTGACGTCACGAATGAATTCAGTGTTAATCGGCTGAACCTTTTTGACAGTTCAGTGGTACTTTTTACAAGCACTTAGTCATTTTTCCGAATTTTAACTTGAAAATTGTCGAGGAACAGCGCGTTGCAAAGATGCTGCTCGTGAACATTGCAGAAATGTGGTTTACATCTCACTGCAGTCTGAAAAATTATCGAGAAAATCCACCCAAGAAAAAATCGGCTAAGTCCACGTAAACAGTACCACTAAACTGTCATCAGATTGAGGTTAACCCCGACGGTGCAAAACCTAACTGCCAGCGTGGCGTCATAAATGAACTCAGTGTTAGCCGGCTGAACCTTTTTGACAGTTCAGTGGTACTGTTTACAAGCACTCAGTCGTTTTTCCGAAAAAAATATTCTTAAATTTTCGAATTTCAACTCGAAAATTGTCGAGGAACAGCGCGTAGAAAGGATGTTGCTCATGGACATTGCAGAAGTGTGGTTTACATCTCACTGCAGTCCGAAAAATTATCGAGAAAATCCACCCAAGAAAAAATCGACTAAGTCCACGTAAACAGTACCACTGAACTGTCATCAGATTGAGGTTAACCCCGACGGTGCAAAACCTAATTCACGATCGGAGACTACAGAGTTATAACATGTTATAGCACTATCTTGATGGTGATTTCTATGTTACAATTATTTGACAACCGTTATAACATGTTATAACTGCTCAGTCTGGCCAGCGCATTACTCACACATTGGTTACCACCTCTTTTATTAAATCGGCTATTAAATATAATATAGGTATTCATCGATATTTCAAGCTGAACATTGCATTAGGTCCTAAGTAACATTGATCGATTCTCTTCGTCGACTTTCTCTTTAGTTAATAACTTGAGCACAGAATCATTTCTTCACAGAAAAAAAGTTCTTGAATATTACATCCAAACTGCTGCAACCAGGTCAATCCATCGGTTGTGTAATATAACGTTGTACGATGTACATCGATATTGCGAACAAAATTACATCCATTGATGTAATATTGTATCTGCTTTTTGCTATTACATCATTATTTCATACATCAGCTTGAATTACATTGATCGATATTAATTTTTTTTTTTTGCTGTGTTGATGTTTTTGTCGTATTAGATGCTAGATAAAAGCTTCTTTTATCGAACTGTGTGCTGAAAATACCTGGGAATGTCTTAACATGACCGTGGGAATGCAAAGAGAAAGTCGACGATGAGAATCTGTCAATGTTACTTAGGACCTAATGCAATGTTCAGCTTGATTTTTATTTTTTAGGATGCTGATGAATTTCTAGATAAACATTTCAAGTAGTCCTATCTGCATTCGTCGATTCTCTTCATCGACTATCTCTTTAGTTAATAACTCAATTTCAAAAGCATTCCTTGCTGTGTTCAAAGTTCTAAGCGCAAGACAATAACTTCTGCTATCAAACTATACGGTAAAAAGAGCACGAAATATGTTTGCGTAGGCGTGGTTATCAAAAGAGAAAGTCGATAAAGAGAATCGATCAAAGCAGATAGGACCTTTTGAAATGTTCATCGAGATTTGGATTTGTCTGCAGTTATTTCTGGTCAAGTTTCGATTTGGACACTCATAAAGGATGTGTAGCAAGCTTTCCTGGACTCCACAGATGTCACAATTCTCAGTTCTCATTAAATTCCACTTATATAGCCTGTCTTTAGTTGCTGTGTGAAATGTTCTTATTCTTCCCATTGTAGGGTCAGGTGGGGCAAGTGTGCCACGTTAAGAAAATCTTTCAATAAACATAGGTTAATCTAACTTTTTTTTAAACAAATGATGTAGGGGAAATGACGGCTTCGGCATGACAGACTATTTTCGGCAACCCAAATTGAAACACTATTTTCAGTGGATTTTCTTACGAAAACACTTCGCTGAATGCATGCAAACGATTCTTTATGCTTTCAGCTTCAATTTGACTATATTTTTACCACTGAGAAAAAGCAATCTAGCAAGGTTTTCTTGAAATGAAACACACGCACTACAAATTGTAGCTGATTTCGAGTTGCCGATAATAGAACAGCAGATTTACATGCAGTTCAAATGGAACGGTTGCCGAAGAAAAACTGGTTGCCGACAATACTCGCTCTCACTAGAGAAGATTGGAGCATTGTAAAAGCGTTTGAAAACAGTTTTTGACAATTCTTTCGACTGAAATTGTTAGAGCAGCTGGCAGCAAAAGATTGTAAACAAACCAATACTGCATATGTGTGCGTTCCATAGAGAAAAAGGCTATATAAAGAAGGTCGCTGCTTAGGTTGCCGAGAATACGTGAATTCCCCTACATAGAATCTTAAACATCCTCTACTTAAACCTGTTGTATCTGAAACTGAATATGTAAACGTTAAATATTTTTTCTTAGTTGTTTTCATATGCCTTATCAACAAAGGCTAAAAAACAGTGTGGGGCAAAAGTGCCACCCCCATGGGGCAAAAGTGCCACCCCCATGGGGCAAGACGGCCATATAACTCAATAACAAGAAAATCATCAAAATTTCGCAATCAAACGGTTCATATTCTCCTTAAACTACTTTTTATTTAGTCAACAAGGTGAAAGATTTAACCAACAGTGTCAAGTACTCCTTTAAACATGTATTTAAAAAAATTAAGCCTTAAAAAAAGCATTGTGCAATTTTATTGTTCGTTGTAATAAAAATTACAGTTCATTTATAACAATAGGGTATACAATCAATATAAATCAAATACAAGTTGGGCAAGCAAGGTTAACACACTTGTGGAACCATGAAGCACAACAACCACATTTCGTCCATCCTTCTCCGTTGTTGGTTTATTTGAAACATGAACCACATGCATCGCATAGTGGATCCGGAAGTGTATCGCTCTTAATATCAGCTACACGTCGACGTTTTGGATTTTGTTTAGACTTCCGTTTGGTTTCCTTCCTTATTTGACCGATGTCTCGAAAGGCTTGAGACTCGTGCAACGCTTTTCTGTAGGGGCTCGATGTTAGCTCTGCAGCTTTCTCACGTTTTCGTGTTTTTGCGTTAGAGGCCTTCCTCGTTGTTGATTTCGGTATGGGATGTATAATGGATGGCCCTATCGCAAACGGCGCCTTTTTCTCCTGATCAGTTACAACGTTTTCCTTGTCTTTATCTTCATCCTTGAAATAGCTTGGAATATCCGGCTTCTTCAAGCTCTCCTCGCCGAATCCATAGAAAGGATCCTCATCATCGCTTTCTCGAACATTGGTGCTATTGTTGGACTGTTCCGTTGTTTCATGTGCTGTGCTGGATAGATCAATATCCGTGACATCTGCCGGAGCAAAGCTGTCTTCTCCGAAAACGTGGCGGTTGAAGGGAACAATACCGGTCTTTCTAAATCCATTCACTGCTATGGATGCAGAGCAAGCCTGGATAAATGCTGTTCCCAGCAGTTGGCTTATCTCATTTACAGTTACAACATTGCCAGGATTATTTCTCAAATACTTTTCGATAGACTTGGAAAAGTGACTTTAAAGTGGGGCCATAAAGCTGACATCCAGCGGCTGGAGTCGATGGCTACAGTGTGGAGGGAAGCTGATAACTGTCACATAATTTTGTTTAGCTTTATCCAAAAACGCTAAATTTTTCGTATGTGACACATGGCCATCCAAGAGTAGCAGAACGGGATCAGCAGACGTTGGTCGACTATGCTTTAAGAAATGGTTAAACCACATATTGAAATCAGCTGTCGTCATCCATCGCATTGCAGCTAAAAATCGTCTCAGGAGGAGCTCCTTTCTTCAACTGTTCGGTGAGCCGAACTCTTGGAAAAATCAGCATTGGTGGTATAAATTGGCCACTTGCTGACATGCACATGTTGTTAAAATGCCTCTTTCGCCAGAAGTTATTCCTCCTACTTGTTGACGTCCCCGAAGCGCTAGAATTTTTGTATTCTTGGTTTGAACCTGTAAACCGGAATGCCTGTTAATTTGCTGATAAAAATGATACATTAATTTATACAACTTACGGTCAAAGCAGAGGTTTCGTCTACGTTGTAGATTCTGCTGGGTGCAAACTTGCCGGAACTTGTAACGTGGTTAAGGAGATCAAAAAATTTGTCCACAGCAACCCGGTTAAATCCTTGCGCACGAGCAGCAGATGTTGCTTCGGGTACTCTAAGCATCAGTTCAGAGTGACGACGTCGGAAAGCACGTAGCCAATCGGTTCCGGCAAGCCCAGTTTCCCT